GCATTGTGAATTTTGTGCTATTTGTCATTAGGTAGTTTTTGTAATATCATTAGTAGACATTAATTGTGTTTATGAAGAAAGAGTAAGTAAACAGGAGGGATCTGTTCATGTTTAAACATGACAGAGGTGCTGCACGAGGCTAAAAGCACACTGTTGGCTAAACACAGAGAGGTGATTGATGAGAGAAGCTTGTGCAGGAGCAGCTGCAGGGCACAGAGAGAGAGAGACAGGAGAAGTAGATGTTTTGAAGAGTTCAGAGAGAGTACAACTTATATAAAGTTGACTACTAGTCTGAAGAATGTTATATTGTTTTGTGAGTAAACATGAAGTAAAAATATAAGAACAACATGCTTATATAGGTTAACAGAAAGCTGCTATTAACCAGTTTCAGCAGCTACTGTCCTATCTGTGTTCCAAAGAGAACATACGTTGCATTTACAATTCATATTAAGAAAGTTCACAATTGATACCATTAAAGGCCGTTTTGGATTAATAGGGCGTGTCTGTCATAAACATTCGTGCTCGGATGGAATAAAGTGTTGAGATGTTCTCAAGAGTGGGAGTTTTCACAACGCTTTTTAGTTTGTATTGAAACAATTAAGTGGTAAGGACAGAAAACTGTTCCGCGATGATTTCTTTAGGTTTTAGCTTTAGTAATGGAGATTACATTTTGTGAGGAAACTTTTCCACCAATAATAACTGTTCAAAATATATATTCAGTAACTGTAATCAGATTACTTGTTTTTCAAATATAGCGCTAAATACAGTTAGTTTTGTATTCTGTTACAAATCTAACCTGCTTGTAACACAAGTTAGATAAACAATTAAAAAAATAATAGAATAAGCAAGTGGTTAAGGAGGTTTTCCTGTTTTGCTCATTTGATTTGGAAATCAAGTAAGGAAGAATAGTGTTTTATGAGAACTGTCATTCCTCATGGTTTTTAAAGATAAATCATCAGTTTGTTTGGACTTTGATGTAGAAATAGGATCATGGTGGAGAAGGAAGACCTTTTTTGGTTTCAAATTTAAAAAAGATTTTAAAGATGAAGTTTATTTTATTTTTTTCTGACTAGAATTTTAGAAGCAGGACTTCAACTAGACAAGATATTTTACGATGTGGTTTTACTACTTTTAATGGAGTAAATAATCTGGGTAGACTACTGCCATTGGTTTGTTTTAACATTTCACATGTTTCAGCATTCCTGACCATATAGACATTCAGCCGTTTTATTTTGTAACCCTTTGGGGGAGAGATTTAAATTGAGTTTTTCTCCAGTTGCTGATTGGCTGTGATTACAGCAGCACTGGATAGTTGTGCGCCACCTTTGGGTTGTACTCTGAATCAGTGTGTTGGTGAAGAGTTGCTCACTACAGAAACAGAAGAACTGTGCAAAGAACGCATCTCTGAGGAGGGTTTGACATTTTGCTTGGGCCTTGTTGCCGAGGCAACAGTGGTGTGAAGAGGAACTGCAGTTTTTGGGGATTCCTGCTGTGTAGAGGACAACGTGTGTCTGCTGATTGTACCACATTGATCCAGAGGTTCCTTCCCCCTCAGGACATCCCAGAGCAAAACAAGAGTTTCATTGATCCAATTCACTACAGCTGCAGAAGACAACGCATCACTGACTGTTCACATTATGACAAGTTCTGAGACAGGCTTGTCTCAGATTGTTCAGACTCTGAAGAAATTATGCGATGATTTTACAGCATAACTGTGCAAGAGTTTTCCAGAGGGTGGTGTACAACAATAGGTTTAGTGTTTGAGAAGGGAGGCTGATTGTTTAAACGATGGTCTGGAATGCTGAAAAGATTAAAGTTTAATATCCTTGTTTAGCAAACAACACATCTGATTATTAGGTCACACATAATAATCTTGACATATAAACTAACTATGAGTAAAAAGATGAATGGATTTTATATCCTAGAGAGGGTTAGTTATGTTGTGAATATTTCACAAGGTATTTGCTAATGTATTTTGAAGAACAAATAACAAGGACACAAGTCCAATTTTGTTTTGTTTTTAGGTTAAATTGTCCATTACCAAAACTGTTCACCTTATGTCTAGATTTGGACTTTGGTGGTAAGGGAGTATTTAGGCTTATTTTTATACATCTGACATTTTCAAATATGTTGGCTATTCACTAGATAGACATTGGTTAAGAACTTTTCTGAAGATTGAATATTTGTTCCATTTCTAAATATTCCTATTTAAAAAGTAATTTTAGAGTAAAGAAGACTGATGCTGTAATTGGACATAATGTGAGGCCTTCAATCACCCATTGTAATGGTGCATATTATTGACGACTAATAGGGAGGAGGGGTCACTCGACCCACCCTGCAGTGGTTTTTAAAATCTTATGCAGCTTCACAGGAAGCGCACGGCACCAGATTATGAGTTTGGAAGACTAGCGTCACCACCTCCTAATGGACATTAATTTAGTTAGTAATTAACTGACATTTAGAGATGTTAAAGAGTAAAAACATACCTACCATAAGTGATAATTCCTGAATTTAGCTACAAACCATTGATGAAATGACTTCTGTTTTTGGAATCCTTGATAAAGGAAGGAGTGATTGTTACATATTCGGACACCCAAGGTTCCACGCACTGTTAAAGAGGTTAACATTGTTTTTAAGTGGACCAGATTTGAAGATAAATGAATATGAGTTATGAAATACATAGCAGAGCTTTACAGATCCTAGTAATGGTTTGACTCAAGATGATAATTATGTGCACAAGTTTCTGAAATAGATCTATTAGACATTTGAATATAGATTAGGTGTTGATAAACTGCAGTAGTAGTACAATAAGGAAGTGACATTTTTTGGCTAAACACTTTTCGGGGAATGTGGGAAGCAGCTGTCTCAATGAAAAGTTAGAGATATCTTGAACATTATAGTTGTAATTGTGAATTAATAAATGATGGCGCTCCATATATACATATTTGTGTAGACAAAGGATACTGGCCTATGCTGAAATGTCAAAGTCTCTGCAGAGCACGACACATGGCCAAAAAAGACTGAGACCAACTGACATTTGACCCTGACCGACAGTGTAACTTCACAAGGCACTGTGAATGACTGACTCTGGGGTGGACCTGACCAAACTTGACTTTACAACCTGACAGTGTGAGTGTGAATGTGAGTGTATGTCTGCATGTGATCAGTGCAACTGCATGATTTAAAACAATGACTAATCAAGCATGTTTTTGGACTAACACATTTTTCTGGGCCTCAATAACATTCCACAGAATTGGAAAACCGCACTTGTGCACTCCCACAGGAGGTGGCAGTTTGCAGAATGTGGAACTCAAACTAAAACATGAAGATTCTGTTTCTTTTAGGACTGAAGGATGGAGAGAAACACTTCATTTCACTGGAGTGTTTACTGTGGAAATGATGGATGTACATTTGGGAAAAAATGTTTGATATTTTCTTATAATCCATTATTACCTGAAGGTTTTCTTCCCATACAGGATTATGGTTACACATGAGTCATGTGTAAAAAGGGGGAGTGTACGGCTGCCCCAACTCGATTGTTCAATCTGACCATTGATTGACGGTTTTAGAATTGACCTGCTCCATATCTGGGGATAAGATACTGTTTGATGGATGTTGACATGTGTGATGCCCCTGTGGGTTCATCAGTGGAGAGGGTGTGGCTGTCCTGTCTTGGCTGCATTGATTGCAGTGATTGCATTAACTCAGGGCACCTGGGTCTGGTGCTCTGCAGCTATTTTAAAGCCTCTCTGCTCCTGTCTGCTCTCGCTCTGTTTTCCTGCAGGCACCCGGCTCTGATGAGTATAACCAATGTGTTGAATTGACCAGTGTTGTGCAAATAAACACCTTTACCTACCCGTTGACCAGTGGCGAGCCGTCAGGGTCCTCTAGGCCCTCTGTGAGGGCCTAAGATATTCTAAAAAATAATATTTAAAAACATTTTTAAAAAATATTATTTTTTTTAAATATTATTTGTGTTATATTTTTACCGAAAAAACTTGATTTAATTGTATTTAAAATAAAATTTCCAAAGAAATAAATCCTTCGAATTGGCCTGTTCAGTTTCTGTTTGAATGTGAAGGGTTACATGAAAAAAGCTCGTCTGGCCCTCTATGCGATTCACAGAGGGCCCGCTATAGTAAAACAACGAGAGAGTAATGTCAAGTGACAGTACAATTGACCAATCATATCTTCCCTCTAAATGGGAGGGCTTTATTATCGCGGACTTTATGACAAGTTCCGCCCGCTGCGCTGCCAAGTTTATGCATGTGATATATCAACGGGTCAAGCTAGGCGGAATTAGCATACGTTCATTCACGATGGCTCACGTTAGTGATAGTGATGACATCGTTGCGAAACTACTAACCGAGTCTTTTTCAAGAATGAGTTACACGGATAAATTGGAGTTAATTACCAAAGGGCGACCAACACCACAGCTTAATTTGGTTCAAAAAACCAAACGGTTCGAGAGGCATTTTAATATCGGCAATTACGCCAGATACAACTGGATGACCGGATCAACCAGGGAACACAAGCTGTACTGCTGGGATTGCTTGCTTTTTGGAGCGGACAGTGGGTCATGGGCCAGAGATGGATATTCTGATTTAGGAAGTTTATCCAAATCAGCACATCGCCATCAGAATGCTTCAGGTCACCTCAGAGCTACTATTCGGCTTAAAACATTTGGGGACACCAGGATAGAGCTCCAGCTGGATGAGCAACAACGCCGGGGTGTCATCCTTCATAATGAAAAGGTGAAGAGGAACCGAGGAATTTTGAAACGCCTGATAAATTGTGTGGTGTACTTGGGCAAGCAGGAGTTGCCGTTCCGAGGTCACGATGAGAGTGTAACTTCATCAAACAAGGGGAATTACATAGAGTTGCTGGATTTAGTGGCAGAATATGACAGCGACCTGCACACACACCTCGCCACATCAACAGTATTTACCGGCACATCTTCAAGGATTCAGAATGACCTGATCAGCGCTGTCGCTAGTGTAATGACGGATAGCATGAAAGAGGAGCTGAGGAAGGCACCTTTTGTTGCGGTCATGTTGGATGAAACGACAGACATTAGCAACGTGGCGCAGATGTCATATGTGCTTCGATATGTCACTGACGATGGGATAAAAGAGCGTTTCTTCAAGTACGAAGATGTGACAGAGGACAAACGAGCAGAGGCCATAGCTACACGGCTGCTGGAGTTCCTGAGGGAGAGTGGCTGTATTGACAAAGTGGTCGCGCAGTGCTACGATGGAGCAGCTGTTATGGCCTCTGGATTGAATGGGGTGCAAGCGAAAGTTAAGGAAACAATTCCACAGGCCCTTTTCATTCACTGCTATGCTCACATCTTAAATCTCGTCTTGTCAAAGGGAGCTTCCAAGATAAGAGAGTGTAAGGTCTTCTTCTCCCACCTCTCTGGCTTGGCCACCTTTTTCAGCCGCTCAGCAAAGCGCACCAAGCTACTGGATGATATTTGCCAGCATAGGGGCAGCTCCTACTCGCTGGTGCTTTCATTCTCGCTTGGTGTGCACAGTGGCAGAGAAGACCAGGGAATTGAGAGAGGTAAGATAATAATAACAATGAACGTAATGGAAATATTAACAATAATAAAGAAATGATTTAGTGTTGGAAACTACCCACTCATAAAAACATGAAGGTAAAGAACTATGCTAGTATTACATTAAATGAAAAGCTAATCTTAGTGTTTACTGGAGGTCTATAAGTTGTTTTTTCTAAACTAAGCATTACTCTCGTAAGTGTTCGAGCACATCGTAGACCATCACACAGAGTTTGATGACGAAACTGTTCATTGCTCTGATGGATACATCACCCTCCTTACCAGCTTCGATTTCAGCTTTTGGTTGAAAACCTTCCACGCTATCTTCTCCTACTCGGATGTTGTTTTTGAAATACTTCAGAACAAAGGTTTTGATATGCAGTTCTGCCTGGCCAGAGTGGATCAGCTACAGCGACAAATTGAACAGGAGAAGGGGAACTTTGACAGCGTCTACGATGAAACCCAGGCTTTGGTTGGTCCTCCGCGCGGCCGTGGAGCTCAAGGAGACGTTCGTGCACGGTATAGGGAGCTCCACTGCAGCGTAATTGACAGCCTGCTAACCCAGATTTCCAACCGCTTCAGTGACCACAAAAAGCTGGAATTCCTGGCCCTTCTGGACCCGCAACAGTTCGGGCATTACTGTAACTATTTCCCAACTGCTGCCTTGAACAGTTTGATGGAGAGCTATGGCGGATATTTCGACCAGCCTCGACTGCACACGGAACTCGCCGTGATGTACGGCATGTCTGACATTTTAGGGAAAAGCCCAGCCGACATTCATCAGTTTCTCCTCAAAAAAGGACTGAGTGAAAGCATGAAACAGGTGTACACCCTCTCATGCATCATCCTGACAATACCTGTGTCCACTGCCTCTGTGGAGAGGTCCTTCTCTGCGCTGAAGCGCATAAAAAGCTACTCGAGGTCCACGACTGGGCAAGTCCGACTGTCAGACTTGGCCTTAATTTCGATCGAGAAGGAATTGCTGATTGCTTTAAAAGCAAAGGATCAGCTGCATGACCCGCCATCAAGTTCTTCATCCAAAAAGACAGGAGGATGGACTTTGTGTTTAGGTGATTTGATCATCAAAGGTAAGTCAAAGTGATTTTCAATGTGGGCCGCCGTGCCGACTTAATTCATTTGTAATTGTTACTTGGCTGTGGGTGTCCTGTCATGATAGGTGTTTATATAAATGGTGTTGTTTTGTGTGGTAGAGGGTCGCTGTCATTGATGCGTTTTGCACCCCGGGCCGCTGTTTTGATATTCCGCTGAAGTATACTATAGGCTGTGACGTAAAAACGTTTTCTTTTTTTTTTTCCGAGGGAAGAGGGGGGTGGGGTCAGAGGGCCTAGGTAGAAAAGTCACGGCTCGCCACTGCCGTTGACATGTTGTGTCTCCTTTTTGTTGTGGCCTTTTGAGCCAGGTCGCAACAAATGGGGGCTCGTCCAACGGGTTATTTATTTAAAAAGTTTGTGTAGTGCTCATTGAGCAGCTGATTCATTGTTGTGGTCCAGCTGTGTGCTGGCTCTGCGCTGCTATTTGGGGGACACATCATGTCTTTTGGGTTTCAGGATGCTTTAGTGTTTGACATGGCATCAGGTTTTGTGTGCCAATCAGAAGGTAAGATATTGCTGTTTGTTACGCTTTTGTAAAAGAGATTTTCCCCGCTAGGCATAAGTGGCGTTTCCCCTTGGGTTCCGTCTGTTTGTTTTTTTTCATAGTGTTGTGGCGACGTGGTTGGTGTCAGCTGTTTTCGGACAGCTGTCTCGGGGGCACATCCGCGTGATTTCTTGGTGTTACCTGCGTGCAGGTCGCTCCATAAATCCGCCGGGTTCCAGTGCGTAATTACCCGCCGCAAGCCACATGAAGACTAGGTGAGATTAGGAAGATTTTGGTAAGGCAGTTAGGGGGGGAATTCTCTGTTGGGTTTTGTCTTTTCGCCCAGGCGTGTTGACAGTTGAGTACTTTGCTTTCTGATTGGGTATAGGCAATATATTATGGCTTCTTTGTCAGCGTTTGTGGATGCGCCCTCAGTATCTTTCTTGGATGGTTGCCAGAAGGCGCAGTTGATCGAAATAGCAGAGCATTATGAAATTGCTGTTGTAGGGAGCAAGCGGAAACATGACATTAAAGCTGTCATCGTGTCATCTTTGTTTGAGCGGGGAGTGTTACAGAAGAGTGAGTCTGGTGTGGCAGGGGTCGGGCCAGTAGTGGTTCAGACAGCTGGTTTGACATTCGAACAGCAAAAGGAGCTTTTGGCCATGCAGTTTAATCAGGAGAGATTGCAGTTGGAGTTGAAGTTGGAGCAGGAGAAGTTGCAGTTGGAGATGAGGGGTCAGCAGCAGGAGGTAGAGAAGCGTTTAGAGGTGGAGAAGGTGCTGGAGGTGGAAAAGATGAAATGTGAGGTGGAACATGCTAGATTACGGCTGATGGGAGAGGGCAAGTTTTCTCCAGGGGAGGATGGTGGTGCTAGGTTAGCATCAGGCAGTGGCGATATAATTTCTTACTTGCGATTAGTGCCAAAGTTCAATGAGTGTGACCCGGACATTTTTTTCACTCTATTTGAACACATAGCAGAGGCAAGAAACTGGTCAGATTCGGACAGAGTGCTGTTACTTCAGTGTGTACTCACTGGGCGAGCACAGGAAGCCTATTCAGCTATTTGTGGCGAAAATACTTTGGACTATGATAGAGTAAAATCAGCGGTGTTGAAATCTTACGAACTGGTTCCTGTAGCGTATCGTCAAAGGTTCAGAAGTGGGGTCAAGGGAGATAAGCAGACACATGTGGAGTTTATCCGTGATTTAACTTCTCATTTTCAGCGGTGGTGCGCGGCAGCAAAGGTTGCAAGTTTTGACGGTCTTTGTGAGCTCATTGTCTTGGAACAATTTAAAAACATTCTCCCTCAGCGTGTGGCCACGTATGTGAATGAACAGAAACCTCCCACCGCGTTTAGAGCTGCTGAATTAGCGGACGATTTTGTGTTGACACATAAGGGCAGTTTTGCGGAGAAATATTCTAGGGGTGATTGGAAACGTGGAGAAGACAATGGAGATGCCCGTGGAAAGTTTTCACCAGGCTCCTCCCGTAGATTTGCAGGTACAGGGCGACCCGAGGGGGCCAAAGTGGACCAATGTCACTATTGCAAAGGTGGGGGTCATTGGAAGGAGCAGTGTCCATTGCTGGAAACGAAGGGGAAGCCTCGTTTGTCACCACATGCTCCAGCCATGTGTTGTTCTGCCGTGGTGGATAACAAACCGTTGGGTGTAGGCTCGGGCATGGTGCCTGATAAGAAGCCGGTTTGTGCCGACCCGGATGCGGGTTCTGGTTTTGAGCCGTTCATCACTGAAGCGGTAGTATCAGTAGTCGGTAGTGACAAATATGTGCCGATTAAGGTGTTGCGTGATACAGCGGCTAGATACTCATTCATTGTTGAGTCAGTGTTGCCTTTTTCGTCAGAGACAGAAACGGGGGATTTTGTGCTGATGAGGGGCATGGAGATGGGCTTGATCCCTGTGCCACGGCATACAATAGTGCTGGATTGCGAACTGGTGCGGGGAGTTGTGTCTATCGGTGTGCGTCCCGCGTTGCCACTCGTTGGGATACATATGATTTTGGGCAACGATCTCGCTGGTAGTGCTGTGTGGGCTGGTGTGCCACCGCCTGTGGTGGTTTCCAGGCCGGTGGCATCTGGGGAGCCAGATGAGAGTGGTTTGCAGTTTCCAAGTGTGTTTCCAGTTTGTGCTGTGACACGTGCACAGAGCCGTAAAATGTCTGCTGACCCACATGTTTCGGAGTGTAGCAAAAGTAATGTGGTACATGTGGTCTCACTGCCTGATCTCCCTTCGTCGGTGTCAAAGGAGGACTGGGTCAGGAGTCAGAGGGACGATTTATCTCTTTCTGCTCTGTGGACTGAAGTGTTGCCGGCAGAGAAGGTCAGAGACATAGCCCAGGGTTACTTTGTTCAGGGGGACTTGCTGGTGCGTAAGTGGGTGCCCTGTGTTGGTGATGCTGTGGGGGAGGCAATTTTTCAGGTGGTGGTGCCGAGTAGCTTTCGTGATGTGATATTGCAAACTGCGCATGATAGTGGGGGACATTTGGGGATAAAAAAAACCTATGACCGTGTCCTACGCTATTTTTTCTGGCCTCGGTTAAAGCGCGATGTTGCAAGTTATATTAAAGCATGCCACATATGTCAGTTCACTGGTAAACCAAGTCAGGTGGTGAAGCCTGCACCCCTCAGTCCCATTCCAGCCCTTGGTCAACCTTTTGAGCATTTGATCATAGATTGTGTGGGGCCGTTGCCTCCATCTAAGTCCGGTTGTGCGTACATGCTTACTATAATGTGCCAGACTACAAGGTATCCTGCAGCGTTTCCCTTGCGCTCCATTTCAGTGAAGCCAGTAGTTAGGGCTTTAACCCAGTTCATCTCCACATTTGGGATCCCACGTGTGATTCAAAGCGACCAGGGTACCAACTTTACTTCCCATATGTTCAAACAGATTCTACAGCAGCTGGGGGTCAGGCATAACCGTGCGTCGGCTTACCATGCCCAAAGCCAGGGGGCGCTAGAGCGGTTTCATCAAACATTGAAGTCCATGCTGCGTGCTTATTGTATGGAAATGGGGAAGGGCTGGGAGGAGGGACTTCCATGGCTCATGTTGGCGTCCAGGGAAGTCGTTCAGGAAAGTACAGGGTTCAGCCCTAATGATTTGGTCTTTGGGCATAAGGTGCGTGGGGTGTTATCTGTTCTCCAGGATGGTTTGGTTGAGGGTGAGCCACCTAAAAATTTAGTGGACTATATACAGGGCTTTCGTCATCGCCTGTATGTAGCGGTGGAAATGGCAAGGAAAAATTTAGCTGGTGCTCAGGCTAATATGAAGAGACTCTATGACCGTAAAGCCGAGTATCGTGAATTCAGCCCAGGGGATCAGGTGTTGGCTTTGATGCCACTGCAGGTTTCACCATTCAAAGCCAAGTTTGCCGGCCCGTACACTGTTGAGAGTAAAGTGTCAGATCAAAATTACCTGATTGCTACTCCAAATCGGAGGAAGTTGTCTCAACTGTGTCACGTCAACCTCCTGAAACCGTACTATGTTCGTGATACCGTTGGGGATAGCTTCATGGTTAAAAAGTTGGGTGTGGGACCCATAATGATGGTTGATTCTGTGCTTTCAGATCGAGGGTTGGCTGAGGAGTGTGATGTTAAGGCACCAGATGAACCTGTTATGTCTGGTAGGCTGAGGAATTCGGAGTCGTTATGCCAATTGGATCGCTTGTTGAGTCACTTACCGGCAGCACAGAGAGATGAATTGGCGGCTTTAATCGGGAAGTTTGTGGTACTGTTCGGCGATACGCCATCGCGCACAACTCTCGTGGAGCATGATATCGACGTGGGGGACAGTCCTCCAATTAAGCAGCGATTTTACCGTTGTCCTGCAGTCCTATAGTTTGGACATTCGGCACATTAAGGGGAAGGACAACGTTGTGGCGGATGCTCTCTCTCGTGCCCCGGTGGGGTAGGGAGTCTCTCTGGCTCTGGATATTTGGTGTTGTTTCGGGGATCCCTTTGGGGCCTCCGTCTTAAGGGGGGGGCTGTGATGCCCCTGTGGGTTCATCAGTGGAGAGGGTGTGGCTGTCCTGTCTTGGCTGCATTGATTGCAGTGATTGCATTAACTCAGGGCACCTGGGTCTGGTGCTCTGCAGCTATTTTAAAGCCTCTCTGCTCCTGTCTGCTCTCGCTCTGTTTTCCTGCAGGCACCCGGCTCTGATGAGTATAACCAATGTGTTGAATTGACCAGTGTTGTGCAAATAAACACCTTTACCTACCCGTTGACATGTTGTGTCTCCTTTTTGTTGTGGCCTTTTGAGCCAGGTCGCAACAACATGTTTCTAATATTGATTGAGTTATAACAGGTAACACAGATGCAGAATCAGTGGCCAAGGAGCTACTGTGAGAGATGTGATTCCAGAATGGAATACTGAAGAAGTTGACCTGTGAGTAATGTTTCAACAGGTATAAAAGTAACTGAGGTTTGAAATGTAGAAAGAACATATTACAGTTAAAGCTAAAACATAGTAATGTAATGACAGAATTTAATTTAGACAACATCATGTAACTAGCCTGGTAAAGAAGTAAAAGCCATAGACTTTATTGTTTAGGTCATTATGAGGATATACATTTCATCTAAATTTATAAGACATTTGATGACAGTTTGTTGGAATTCTGTATTCATTTTTTCAGCGTGATAATATCTAAGCACTGACGGGTAGAAGCAGTATCACCAGGAAATCATTCACTTTGTTAGTATCATGATTTTGGTTGTTTTTGAATCCATAACATTAGTGTGTTTCTTTACCAGAAACATTAGCAGTTCATATTATATTTGGATTTTAAATAGGATCTCAAGGATTTCATTTAAAAATAAACACAGATGCTTGTCAGAAATTCAGAGCTATTGAAATATGTTATTTAGTTTACCTAAAGATGTTGGGGTTCTTATTTAGTTGGCACAGTCCAAGTACTAAGATTCTGAAGCTGTACTGGCAGATAGGAGGTCTACAATTAATTTAGAAAACCTGTTCACAGACGGCTGTTGTTTCAAGACACCCCACCAACAGGCTCCAAGTGGGTCAAAACAGCTGAGCGTAGGCTTGAGGGAGTTGTATCAGATTTCTCCACACAGGTCGCTGGCGCCAAAAGGGGGACCCGAGAAGCACGAGGCCGACAGCAGAGTTCGTCTGGCTGAAAGTCATCAGGACAAAGTGGCTCAACCCCAGGCTCTCCGGCCCCGACCGAGTGACCCAGAGGACATCCCATGCCGTCCGCCTAGAAGGAAAGGGGGACAACTGGTACCACTGGAGCCAGTGTGCGGTCGGGAAAACACCTGCGAGGACCCTAGACGACATCAGGACAGACCTGGCCCTCGTCAAGGCAGTCGACCCGGGAGACATCATCAGCGGGCCGGAGAAGGAGAATCGGGAAGACATCTCTCCAGCATCGACCCGGAAGCCGCCATCAGCGGGCCGGAGGAGGAGGAGGAGGAAGACATCTCTCTAGCAGGCAGCCCAGAAGCTGCCGTCAGCGGATCGGGGGGACAAAGACACGGCAAGCCAGGACGGCACAGGGGACTTGTCGAGGCAACAGAGGAGTCTACTTCTCTGATCAGTTCCACCTGTGAAGGGAAAGCCGCATCTCCCCCTCCCTATCAGCTGCCCCTTGTTGGCGTATTCCTCTGAGGGGGGGGGGGCTGATGATTCACCACACAAGGAGACTGCACTAGCACCCAGCTGCCCCCTCATGGTTCCTTCACTGCCATGGAAAGTGGTGTTCTGTCTCCATGAAGGTTTCAAGTACTCTAAATACCAGCTTCGGATGGATTTATACAATGTTTGGGGGACGGACACAGTAGAAAAGAATGACAGTGGGTATATGTTTCAAAATGCCTTGTTTAAAGTTTATCTCTGGAGAAAGAGATAAAAAGGGGGAGTTGCGGAAGTTTATGAAGAGAATTATGCAGAAGATGTGATGCAGCATATTTTTGGTATATTCATTTTAATCTCACTAATATATAAGAGGTGTATTGCATCATGTTATCCCTAAATATATGTGTGGGTATATACATTCCTGTGTATTAATAGTTGAAGGAACAAAATACATTTTTCCTCTTAAATATAGAGAGGTTTTTTATAGATTCCTGAAACAATGTTCCCTTTTTCTTTAAAGTAGATTAGCGCAATAGTCTTTTTCTTTCACTTTTACCCTTTTCATCAAAAGGGTGCTTTAGGCTATTTTTGAGGAGGTAAAATGCAGAATTACTTGTGAGTTCTGTTTTGAGTGAAAAGATTACCCTTTTGAGTGTTTTTCTTGGTTAACCATTAGATATAGTGGCTAAATTCGTTCTAAGTTAATTATGCGCATCCTGCAGGCCTTGAGAATTTAGTCACACAGTTAAGAGAGACAATGGTCCTTTTAGACTAAGGGTGAGCTTACTTCGGGTGAATAAAAGTTCAGAGATGATTGGGGGGGGTATGAAGACAGTTAGGCTTGTTGGTGAGCTAGTTCTGAGGATGTCATGGGATAATGACTGTTTTATTCCTAACAAGTATGGCTTTCATAAAGAAACACATGACTTGGGTGATAAGATGTGTTTTGTTGTAAAATGGGCCTGTTTGGTTTTCTGCTGGCCAGCGCTGGGTCACTGTGACAAAGCATATTTTGCGTCTGCCAATGAGGGGACCTGAAAAGATGACCAGCTGACCTAACCCCTCCTTCTTATTATTGTATATCTCCTGTCGATTCCTGAGTTCGGCCTCTCTTCACATGCTGTCAGGACAGAAGGATCTCCGCAGCACGCGAACAGGGCAGAAGTGGGCCGGCTACTTCTTAAAACATTACAATATGATTTTAGTATATTGTATTATATGGTGTTGTAATGTATTATAGTGCATTGCATTATTACCTTTGATAATTAAAACAGATTGTTTAAACTGGTATCTGGGTGTTCTCTGTCTGATTTCCTTGCTGTTATGATTTTAAGCAGGACTCGTCAAAACGACACGCGGAGCCGAGTGGGGTTGTAAAAACCTCAAAACTCCAACAGGTGGAAGAGAGCTCTCTCCTGAGAGGCTCAAATAACCTCAGCTCAGTGAGGTTAAGGCACACCTTGATATGATCATTATAGTTATTAATGAGACTAAATGAAAAACAGGTATAAAATACTATATGACAGTAACAAAAAAGTTGTTAAAAATAACAAGAATAGAGTTTAAAAGGGGAGTGATTTGTAAATATGCTTACAGTTATGTTTCAAATGGGTGTTGAGAGATGTATCCATAGATCTCTTAATGTTGCTCTCAAAGTGCACCAGATTGATGCTTTTAACTTCAATATTTAAAAACAAATCTTCCCGGGGGAGCATGCCCCCGGACCCCCCTAGAGGAGGTTAGGTCCCCCCCACTTAAATCATGTTCACATGGATAAGATACTAAATACATTTGCACACATCTTGTGTCCATATCTTTCTGTTTTGGTGGTCACGCCACACCGTGCACGTGCATGCGTGAGTCATGGTGAGATATCTGGATTGGTTGCTTTTTCTTTGCACAGCGTGAAAGAAAGGCGAAATTAATGGGCTGTGATTTTAGTTTTTTTAAGCAAAAGTTGAGTTCAATCATTTGTACGGCCCTCGGAGGATGTTGTAAAAATGTAAAGGAAAAAGGTTCCCCACCCTTTCTGTAAATAATAATAAAAACCCTTGATTTATAACTTAACATCTCTGTCTCCTATTGATCAGAGTATATTATAAAGAACAGTTAATTGAAGCATTATAGCTCAGGCCTTTGTCAGATGGTATTACGCTGTTTTTTTTCTGCTTCAAATAGTTCTCTCTTTTTTCACCTACCTGTGTTTGCCCTGAAACCAATGAGCACCTGCAGGTGTATGAGAATGGCCCTGACTCCATGTCAGCCCAGATTTACAAACTCCTGGCAGGACAAGCTCCAGCTCAATTCTCACACTGAACAGAACAAAGTGAGTGAGGGACTGCGATATAAGAGGGAAAGAAAGAGAAACTTTAAAACTGTTCAGTTGTTATGATGTAAAGACTGATATTGTTCTATAATCAGCTCAAACTGTTAAGTCATGATGTGAAACGGTTAACAAAGAAAAAGGGAAACTCAAGCTGCTGCTACACTTTATTTTATTTATCTAAAATTAAGCACTTTTAAGATGCACATATTTTCAAAAGCTATTTTATTTATTTTCTCTATTTTATTTGTAAATGCAGCCCGAGAGGAACATTACACATATCCACAGTATTTAAGTAATGTTAATTGACAATAAATGTTGTTGTTTTTGAATTGTACTTTCTGTATTTCATTGGCAGTCAGTTGTTGATTACATGCAGACGTTGATAAAGCTACAGGTCACTTCAATATATATATATATATCACACTAATTCATGAAGCAAGTTAGACATTTTGATGTTCCGGACCTTTGCATGGGGACATTTTCTCTAACTGGACCTCGTTGAATTTTAGTTGAAGACCCCTGGTCTATGCTAACAACCGACAACAGTTTGCTCCAAAAGGTAAGATACGAAAACATATTTATTTTCTAACCTGCCTCCTTAATGTCTGTATGTAATGTAACATGTTCTCATATAAAAGAGTAAAATAAGCCAAACCACTCATCAGCAACCGCTACTGTGGCTAAGCTAATGTTGGGTGTTTGCACAGTAATTTTCCATACTTTTCATAGTTAACCAAAATGCTAGAAATGTATGCATGCCAGCAGTTCTGCAATGTTAACTCTGTATGCATTAGCTAACTTTCTAGAAACCAGACTTTGCATTTATAATTCGTTTTATATATATATATTTCTATTTAAAATCTATAAATGTGAGATGAAAAAACTAAAAATGACATAATTATATTATATTTGGGGACGTGGGGAAGAAAGAGCCAGACACACCATAGGAAGCAACCTGGGTCTCAATTGCCGTGTGTGGTGGTTTGGCAAGGGTGGTCTGAGGTGGAGGAACCTTCTTCCCTTTTTCTATTAGTCCTTGAGAGGAAGAACAGTCCCGGATGTCCTGCTCATCCACTGTGGCGGCAACGACCTTGGCAACATCAAAGGTGTGGAGCTTGTCACAGCGATGAAGCAGGACCTGCTTTCCCTCAGTGACAACTTCTCAGAGATGAAGATAAT